ATATTATTAACATTAATATTTTATTTTTTATTAAAAATTAATACTTTTTTTTTATGTTCGCAGGCAAATTTGCCTGCTTTACAGTTTAAGGGATAATATAATATTATTAATAAAATTATTAGTTTAATAATTAATAAAACAATAAACTGTTATAATTAGTATTGCCAACAGAGCAATTAACTAATAACAATGAAATCACAAGATGGTGCAGTATAATAATCTCTTAATTTAAAATTCTGAAAATATTAAGAATTCTGCGAATTCTGAAAATACAAGAGATCTATGAAATTCTGCAGATCTTTTAAATACTAATGATAATCCTAATTTTACGAATTAAACAAAGTTTAAAAATATTTAATGTTATACTTTAATATTTTACCTTTTATTATTATTTTATTATATTTTATATTTTTATTATTTTATATATATTTATTTTACTTATATTTTATTTATCAAATTAATTAGTTTATAGTATAATAAATAGTTAATTAAAACAAAGAAAATTTTGTATAAATAGATAGACTTTTTACTTATATTATAAATTAACTCTTTTACAGATTTACAAACTCTTTTGTGAATATGAGTTTCAATATTATATAGTCTGATATAATTTCTACATATTATTTGTAATTGAGTTTATCATTTGAATTTTTTAACTAAATTGTTTGTAATCTTATCTTTCAAGTCTTTATACTTGATAGATTTGCTTAAGTTTGAACACGTAGATTTGATAAAGTTAAGAGTTAGGCAGATCTTAATGTCTTAATCATAGTAAACTATAGTTAGGAATTTCGAGTAGAGACTTAAGAATGTAACTAATCTGAGTTGAAGAATTTTACAGTGATAGTATGCTGTTAATCTCATATTTATTTTGATAATCAAACTAAATTAGCTAAAACTAAGTTTTTCTCTAATAGTAATGCTTTATTTATTTTATAATTTATTATAAATAATATTTATTTTTATAATATTCCTTATCAAAATATTATTTTTTTTTATATCTGATAATATTTGTATATAAAATTAACATATTTCTATTTATTTTCTTTTTTATCAATTTAAAATACAATTATTATTTAACACATATTTTCAATTTAATTATCAAAATATAATTAAACTTCTAAAAATTTAATTAAGTTGATAAATTAATTATAAAATTCAAATCAATATTTTACTTATAATTTATAAAGAAAAATTTAGTAAAAGGAATATTTATTATATAGAGGTGTTAAATCACACCTCTACTTATAAAGATATGATAAAATTCATAGTTTTTATTTTATATTAAATCATCTCTTATATTCTTACTTAATTACTTTTATTATTGCAGAATATTTTATTAATCATAATTTAAAATCTATTTAAGTACTTTATAACTTTTATTAAAATAAAAGTTATAATTTATATATTAAAATATTTATCTATTTTATTATATATAATTACAATTAGAAAGTAATTTTATATTTATGAATTTATTAATTTTGTAATAATTATACTAATACTTTATTTTTATTTAAGTTAATTAATGATTTAGAATTCTTTAAAATAAGAAATAAAGCTATAATTTTATTTGTTTATTATTGAACAATAGCTTTTTAAGCTTTTCTTTCATCAGAAATATGAAATTTTCTGATTTAAATGAAATATTTCAAATTTTAAATGAAGCAAATCAGAATTTTAGGCAATTTATTTCATTATTTTCTAAAGCTTTTATATTGATATATAAAAAATATAAGAAATATATATCTCATTATTTAATGTTATTATTATTTAAAGTAATACAATGTTTTGATTCAAGATTTATTCAATATAATATAGCTAATCAGATCAGTGTTCCTAGTTTAGTTGATAATAACTGAGCTTTTATTATGGGTTACACTACAATAGCCATAGATTCAGGTCTCAGCCAAGACATAAAACTAGATGATTTTCATAAGAATTTTATATGTAACTGAATAAGTGGACGTATATACTAATATGCGTTAAAAACTAATTGATTAATCTGTCGATCGATGTTGATCATGTCTAAATACTGAAATTGCAGAACAAGTGGATGCAAATGAAGTCAGGGATCGATAGAAACTTAGTCTTCACTAATAGATCTGTAATAGGTACTATCTCACGTCTTCAATTTTAGGAGCTTTTACACAAGTAAGGAAGTGATTAACCAGTAATTAGTAGATTGGGTGACATTTCGAAATACCCTTGAGGTGATTATAGTTGATAATAGACTGCATTGCATTGTCACAGCAACCATCCAATCAAGCTGTCATTTGGGGTAGAGGCGAGTTCAATTCCTGGGTGAGTTTGACGATATGGATACGACAATCACTTATCTTTTTGAGATTCTATAAAGATGATAACATTTAAGCCTTCCTGATCATGTGTAATTTACTCTAATATCGGGCAAAGGTAATAGCGATTCTGATTGGTGTTGGTAAAGACAGGGAAAATAATCGACTAAAGTACCTGTGGCTGAAAGTGATCCCTCTATCCAAATTTGACAGTGATTCTAAAGTCTAGTAACCCTAAGAATTTTGATTCTGGGGTGGCAATCCTTAGACCAGTATATCGATGGGATTGGGGCTGATAATTGAGTCAGCTAAGATCTTTCTAGAATTGTGTCGGCATAAGTAAGGATTCACATGACTCGTGTATATCATTCCTTCGCAATTGACCTCTCTGGTATATCAAATACTGAAAAAAAAATATATATAATATAGCTAATCATAATATGGAAAATTTTGGAATTATTAAAGAATTTCATTCTCCTACTGATACTTAATACAAGAATGGATTATTTGCTGTAAACTTAATGAATCTATTGAAGAATTTAAAGATTTAATATATATTGGCAGGATAAAACATATGTATTACCAGAACTTAGTTCATTGGCTTTAATATATATATTGTTACTAGTATCTGTAGATATTGAGCATAATTTTTCTAGTTATAAAAGTATTTTATCAGATAGAAGAGTGATGTTTAAAGAAGAGAGTATTAATTTTCTTTATTTTAGTCTTGGTAATCGTATTAATGTTTATGTAGTATTAAATTATATAGATAAATAAAATTATATGCGCGGTCTATTGAAATCTACATACTTTTAAGAAATTTTTAGCCGAAATTATGATCACGATTTTTACGATTTTCACGATCTTTACCCCAAGATTTTTAGGTCATCACGCCAACAGATTCTGGACACCTTATTCGTAACTTAATACTTAATGTTCTTTCAATCATTTAATCCTTCTTCTAATTTATCTCGAACCTGCAACATTGCTTTTCTATAAACTTTTAAATATTGTTCAACAGGACCTTCAAAACGATTCCAACTTAGTTTAAAAGCATCTTTAATTAATTTTCTCAAGAAGATTTCTTTTACTCTGATATCTTTGCTCATCCTTTTCCAATCATTAATTGCTTCTAATAAAGCCAACTTCATATTGTCTATCGACAAACCAATCATTTGATTATCAACCAATTCAAATAGATAAGAGTTATAATCAATTTTAAAATTATCATCGTTTTTAGCTTTATTAACTAAAAATTCTTTTAAATCACCAACACAATTGCTAACCACAGGCGTACCAAACAATAACCCTTCTGCGGCAAATAAACCAAAACTTTCCATGAAACTTGGCATAAAAAAGATATCAGAAGCAACCCTATACAATATACCCCACTCTTTTTGAAATTCTAAATTATCTATTATGATAACATGATTAGGTGCGTTTTCGGATAATTTATTTAAGATTTCTAAAGGATAATTACTATTCTTTCCCATGATGATAAATTTTGCATCCATTTCCACCAAGAAGTCGGCTGCGGCTTTAAAGAATTGTAACCCTTTATTATATTCCAATTCACCAACGTATAATACTAAAGGTCTATTTAAATCTTCTCGGTTCAACAAGCCTTCTCTTACTAGGTACGCTTTTGCACTTTGCTTCGAAACTGTAACTAATTCTTGTGACGATCCTTCAATTGACTCTGCGTATAATAAAACTGGATCAAAATCATCGAAATTATTAGGAAAATTTGCGTTACTTTCCATTAACATTGAATTATTAAATGGATTATAGGAAATAAAATCAATCCCACTCGTTATACCAACCCATTGACCTAATTTCGCTTTATTCAAAATATTTGGTATAATTAATTCTTTAAGATGAAAATCCATTGGTCATTCAACCATTTCCCTTGCCAAATCTTTTGATACAAAAGTCACCATTTGCGCGTTATCAATCGCATAGCCTGACATGTACATTCGATCATTATGAAAATATTGAGGTTTCCCTACTTGGAATACGTCAACATCAAGAAATTTTTGAATATTCGTGAGATCATTTGAATAAATCTGTTCCTCTAAATAATCATGTATCGTGTAAACTACAGCGGGAATTTTCTTTCCAAATTTTTTACCATGATTAATATGATCAAGAAATTCAATCATAAATGCGTTGGTTGAACCATGAACGTGTACAACATCCACACCTCTTGTTTCATGTATGGCGAATAACGAAGTGTCAATTATTGTATTTCTATACGCAATGAGCTCAGCGGCAGCTTTGCAAAAGTACAAATCTTTCCATTCAGGTAGTAATTTTGAATTTGAATTTTTGATCTTTGCTATACTTGACGCTTTAAATGCCGTATTTAATGGTATCATATTTGATGCTGGTCCGATCATAAATACACTAAGAATACCCGATGGTATCTCGGAATTACTCGTTAAAATATTATTCTTTGAAGTATTCCACAAAGTACGATAAACCAAAAATCCTACATTCTTCCATTTACCGCTTTTATCGCGAATTTTTATGGATAAATGTGCGTATTTATGAGGTCTATATAATTTACTTAAATATGAGTAATATGGCATAATTACATTGACGTTTAATGATGAATTTTTTGATTGTGCTTGAGATAACCCCGTCACTAATTCTCCCAATCCTCCTAACGTTGCTGCTCCAAATTCTTTGGTGATGTGATAAATTGTAACCCCTTTTGGTAACCTTGTTGATATGTTCGGACCTATTCCTAAATATTTAACCGGTGAATAGTTTTGTTTTTCTGTTTCACGTGAAAAAAAAAAGAAAAATTAGGATATCACAACGTTATTTTTTTTTTTTATTCTAAATGTACATGTAGCTAACTTACCGAATGTAAGAGTGGGAGCATCATCAATCCATGACGTTACAAAAGAAGAAATCATTAATATCCCCTTTATAAATACCGTAGATACAATCACCAATGTAATAAACGTTAGTAACTTCATTCGTCGTTTTTCAAAGGGTATACGCTTTAACATTTTTCTTATCCTATGTAATGCGAACCGTAGACGACTAGATTTTGTAGGAAAAACAATCGATGATGTTGAATTTTTGACATATTTATCTTTTGAAGACGGAGAGGAGAAACTAGTAACGAAGTGTGCGGTTCTGAAGGCGGAGGACCTGACCTCATAATTAAAATAAAATTTTCGAATATCAAAAATGATCATTATTTATACTATTTGAACGAATTTCTATAAAAAGCTAAGTTAAATTTAATTACTGCAGAATTGATGTACGTGCAAAAATTACATCATATGATAATACATGCTTTAATTTAAGGTTTACTATTCAATTGTCTATATTAGGCCTCATTCAAACTTTCTTTTCAAAACATGGAAACTGACGAAAAACGTACTTCTACGTTTCTAGGCATTGACCTGGATAGATCGAAAAAATTGAAGAAATTTAACTCTATCAAGATTATAAGAGAACAAGGGGTATGTATTTATTTGCTTTTGACAGGTAAAGTACTTTATAGATGAGGATAACTTGATTTTCTCCTTATAGAACGATGAAATTATAAACGAACATACAACCAAGACTAATGAGCATGCTTATGATATTCTTTATGAGAATCAAAGAGGGTAATCATACTCACTACCATAATATCACAATGTCTTTTTCTTTTTTTTTTTTTTTTTATTAATATATTTTTTAAATCATAGACTATTCTTATTTGGCTTACCAAAATTTAGTTCTAAAGCTTTGAATCAAGTTGATCCAAACTCATGGACTGATAGAAATCAAAAGTACTTATGATCAAAATCAAATCTCGGATTGCAGCTTACACTTCCCAGAATATAGTAGCATATGAACTTTTTTCGGAAATGCTTCTTTTAGCTAATATAGTTTTTTTTGATGTTGCTAGATATTCGCCGATGGATATTTATAATTTTCAGTTGCCAGATCCAACTTGGGAGTGGGTGGGTGCGTTGTATTAAGTGATTTCTATATGATTCTTTGATTTTATATCAGAATCAATATACTTTCCTTTTCATATAGGTTCACAAAGAATGGTTGATTGATATGTCTGGTGACGTTGATGAAGGTACACCCCTTTTTTTTTGAAAAAAAAAATTTCTTCATTTTCTTTTTTGTGATAATATTATTTTCTTAAATTTTTTTAGAGGGATGGGAATATGCTTTTAATTTTCATAGTTCTTCTTGGCATGGTAAGTTGTCTTAAATGATCTCTTTAATTAATCAACTTTTACTAATATTATATAAAAATATTTTTTTATAGGGTGTTATCAGCCACTACGCTCCTTTGTTCGCCGAAGACGGTGGATAAGGTTGCGTCGTAAAAAGGTTTATATTTGCTTTAAATTTCATGTTTGAGGTCCGTATAATTTTGAGAATAAATGATATGATACTAAAATTCAACCTACTTTAATTAGGGAAAAGACGGTTCAGCGTCAATCATTCCTAAAAGAACTTACCTCGAATCTGACGAAAAACTTGATGATTTCGAAGAACTTTGGCGCCAAGTCAAAATGTCAAGGTTAGATAGAGAAAAATTGAAATATATCAGTGATTATATTAACAATGGTGGTAATATAAACAAATTTCATGATAGGGTATGTAAATGAATTTATGCGTATGACAAATTTTCTTAATGTCGTTGCTTAACAATCTGATTTAAATAATGATTTTTATAAAGCTTAGTGATTTTATTGGTATATTTGATCATCAGGAGAGCAGTAAAAAATTCTTGGAAGTAAGAATGGTTATTAAAACATTTATAGAATTTTTCATATATAATACTATTATTATTAATTATCATCATTTTTTATTTAGTTGATATTATCACATTCCGATAAGGTACTTCCAGCTAATGGTCCATTTATGTTGAAATATTTCTCTGATATAAGAGAATTGTTGGATCATGTTAAACATAATATAAATAATGTTGAGGTTCAAAAAAAGGTATCAAAGGGGAAGGAAAAACAAATTTAAGGCAGTTATGATAAATATTTGTGTTTTATAAACATTAGGTTTTCAGACATTTGATATCAGAAATTCTTTAATGCATTCGGTAAAATATCACCGAAATTACTACTTATAATAATAATTAATAGTTATTCCGACACAAATTGCCTATATTGATAAATCAAATTTGATTAGTCGATTCCACCATTAGTTTGGATAGTTTAACATAATTTTTTAATAAATCTTCTTGAAAATAACATTTTTTCTTATATAAACTTCATGGAAATTATTAATTTAATAAGGTTATTATTTTTTTTAGTCTCAATTTAAACCTGAAGTCATTACTTAGAGCAAAACAAAATCATGGAAATCATTTTTCAAACAATAAATAGCAAAAAGATGATGTTAATATTGTAAATAGTTATTCTATTTATAAATCATTAAACATGTTTCTAATGTACCAAAAACTCTAAGCATGATCAAAAAGAAATCAAATTATATATTAGTTTTTATGTAAAAAAGAAATTTTTTAAAATTTATTTTACACAATTTTATATATTAATAAATTAATTTAAATCCTTTCTTTATATTGTTGATACAATCATTTTTTCCCTTTCAACTTCATTCATCTAGTAATCAACGTAATAAATACCTTTTTTAACCCTACCAACATTTTTATCCATAGGTTGATTAAAATTAATATTACTCCTATACCTTCTAACGACTTGAATAGCAGTATCTTGAAATTCAAGAGGTTGAATACCCAAATCACTAAAAGTTTTTACTACTTCGCCCGTTACTCCTTTACCAGGTTTATCACTTATACAATATCTCTCAATATCTTCGGGTGTTACATACGGCCAAGGTAAATAACTTAATAATTTTGTAATAGCCAATGCAATTGGTTTGGGTACGTTAAATCTTGTGCGTTTTCTTAACGTAAGATCATCTATTATGTCATAAATTTCTTCAATACTAAATGCTTTTGTTCCATATAATTCATATGTTGAAGAAATTGTTGTTTCATCTTTTAACATAATTTCTAATGCTGTTGCTACATCTAGTACCTATAATGTAAGAAGTCATGTTAGTTATATATAATTTAACTTTAAACCTTTATTTATTTATTTACATACACTAACTGGCCTAATTAACGTTTCTCCGTGGTTAACCATTAATTCATAAGAAAACACTAAAAATATTATATGAATTTCAAATTCCAATATTAATCAATATTATTAAGCTTAAATAATGAATTATCACCAACCTGACAATCTATTCAAAAATCTATCCTCAGGACCATATATATATCCAGGACGGACTATAGTTACGTCAGGAAATTGTTCTTTAACAACTCTTTCTCCCAAAGCCTATAACAAAAAAAAAAAAAAAAAAAAATTGCTTTTATTAAAATAATTCACAAACGACCAGATTATCCATATTCTTTACCTTTGATTGTAAAAATTTTGATGGAGAGTTAACATCAGCATTTAAAGCCGACATATGAACTAATCTTGATACTCCAAGTTCTTTACAAATTTTTGCAATTCTTTCTGCTCCTTCTATATGAACTTTCTCAAATGTAAAGTTCCTTGAAACGAATCAAACCATTATTAAATTTTTTTTCGCCCCCTTTTTTTAAAGAAACTAGTTTATTTAAAAAATTCAATAATTACTTTGTTTCATAATCTCTTCCTATCAAATTATAAACGATATCAGAATGTCTAACCGCTTCAATAATATTTTGTTCATTACGAAGATCAAATTCCTATTAAAATAAAAAATGATAAACATTTCTTTCTAAAAATAATAATCAGATTCTGATTAATTATTTACCATGGAAACGATTTGGCCTAAATCTCCTGTAACTTTTAAATGTCTTTTCGAATCTTCGTCACGATAAGGTATAACAACTTGAGTTCCATGTTTGGCTATTATAGAAATTAAAAGTTTTAAAACATCCATAAAAAATTTTCCCCCTTTTTTTTTGAATAATAATCATAACATTCAAGCAAAAGCATAAATTGAAGATTTACCAAGTTTACTGACCACATAGCGACCCAAAAATCCCGTACAACCAAAAACAGTTGCTATATTTCCACTAACCGAAGAACTATGTATAAAAATCTTTAGTTAAAGCACAAATTTTATAGCAAAGGTAAATAAAATAATTTGAATACATACCGACCTCCTGGACCATATTTAATAATAGGTTTCCCAGTTTTTTTCCTTATGATAAGATCGTGAGCAAATCGCTAATATTAAACAAAATTCATCAATATTTGAAAAATAACAGATTAAGCCTGTAAATTCGGTGTACCTTTTGATTAAATGTGGGAACACATATCGTTTTACAAGTAATAACACCAACACGTTGTCCAATTCCTAATAAAAATAACAGAAATTAAATAATCTGCATTCGCAAATTTGCGTGTATAACAATGCCAAAAATAAAACTTACGGGTTTTTAGCAAAGAAGATACTGATAAAGAATACATTACCAAGAGAAAAAAAGATAAATTAATTAAATGATCAGTTCGATATATCTAATTAATAAATTTTAATTGGATAAAATATTCTTATTGGTTAAACGTAAATTTAATTTCATTGGTTGATTAATATTTTATCGTATTTCTAATAAGGTTTTAAACTTAATGATTGTAAAATAATTATTACGAGAGTAGATAGAGAAATATATACAGTAAACTCTCTCTAAATACACCTCTCTAAATGCATACACTATATATTTTCTCTCTAAATGCATGCTCTCATCTAGTCTTAAGCATATAGAAATCATATAGAAATTTTTTCTTTAAATGCATACCCTCTTAAAATGCATATTCTTTAAAACTTTTATTATAGTTCCAAAGGGATGCACTTAAAGAGAATTGACTATATAACTAAAATTTTCATAATGCGTAGGTTTATATTGTTCTTTAGTTTCGTTAGAACTAGTGATGGGACTTTTTTAATTTTTAAATATTAATCTTAATTAATAATTACTTATTAATTAACCCGTGATTTTTTCTTTTTTAATCTAATAACGATAAGTATTAATAAATAATTATTAAGTAGTTAATAATTATTAATATTAAATCAAATATAATTGGTCGAATACAAATATATATCGCGTGATCAATTAATTTATTATTGAACGGTTACACTAGATGAATCTAGATTTTCGCGCATTCCTTAAACTGTAGAGCAGGCAAATTTGCTTGTGAACATAAAAAAAAAGTATTAATTTTTTAATAAAAAATAAAATATTAATGTTAATAATATAATTATTATATAAAAAATATAGTTTAATATATATTTTATCAACTTTATTAAAAGAAATTTAAGTTTATTAAGAAGTATTTTAAATAATTCAATTTTTAAAATTAAGTTTTGAAAATTTTATTATAATAATTTTTTAAAAATTTTCTTAAAATTCATATGTTTGCAATAGAGAATTTGATTAGCTTCAAAATCCTTGATCAATTGATTGATTAGTTTCAGTAGGTTATGATCAATCAAAGATTGATTATTATATTTAATCGAAAGTTTTGATTGATTAATGCTTGATTACTCTTTTGATCGATTAATATAGTAATCAATAATTAGTCAATCAAAAATTAATTTTATTATATTAATAATTAATCATATAATAAAATTATCTAAAATAAAGAATTTATATTTTTGTTATAATATTTAGTAAATATTTATAAGTAATAAATTCAAATATTTTTAAAGATCTGTTTCTTTAAAAACTTATCAATTAAATTAATTTCTGAATCTATATAAATAGAATATAAATGCATAGTTATGGCAAATTTTATATATAAATAAAGATAAACAGGAATATTACACTAAAATCTTTTATTTGATAAAATTCTAGCATCAAATTTGAAATTTATTTATTTATAATGGATTGACATATTCTATATTTCTTTTTAAGAAAAATAATTCACTAACTGTTTCTGGCTTTAATCTATTTCTTTTAAAAGTTATTTGGTTACCTGTATTACCAAACAACCTTTCACTTAGTGTAGAAGTTGCCAGAACTTCTAAATATTTATGAGTAATTTTGAATAATATAGGAAAATTTTTTCTATTATCAAGCTACTATTGGAATAAATCAATGTCAAAAGCAGCTTAAGGCGTTCGAATATTATCCAAATAACAGGATATTTTATTATTTATTAATAGTGGCATTTGAGAAGAAGAACTAAAAATCTTACTCAAAAAAGATTGAATGCTAGAAGGTTGAACAACTTCTTGTGGAATTTGTTCAAGTAATTCATCATCTTTAAATTCTTTATATTCTTCATTTAACAGACTATTTGCTATTGTTTATAATTCAAAAGACCACTTATACATTATTTTAAACCTAGGATCCAATAAACTTACCAATAAGATAGAAGCTGATAGGTTATTTTAATAGTCAAAAAGAGAATTATAAACTCTTTTTTAATCAGATTAATTACAGGTTCAATATCATTAGATAATAATGGTGTAAGTGGATCTTTAATGTTATCAAAGACATCATCTCATAAATCTTATTCATTTGAATCCTCTTATAACAATTAAATAAATTTGTAGAATTTAATGTTAAAATTTACAGAAAATAATTAAAAACTGAATACAAAATTACAGATTATATTTTATTATTATTTATTACCATTATTTTCATTATCATTATCATTAGTTTTATTATATAAATTTGGAATATATTCATATTCAAGTGTTTGAATTGTAGGAAAAATTAAAAAAAGCGTGCTGTATTTTTAACCTTCTAAAAATTCTGTTACACTTTCAATTGAAATTAAAATTTTAATTAATTCATCAAGTAATTTCCATTCATTATCACTAAGCATTAAATTTATTAATTATTGATAATCTTTTTAGTATCATGATTAATTTCTAGAACAAGTATTACATAAACACATTTTATTGGCTCTTTTAATTTTTTCAATCGTTTCCAGAAAGCTAATTTTGATCTCCAATGTGTTGATACTTTTGTAATTATTCGAAGAATTTTTAAAAGCTTATTTGAACTTTCTCCATCATTTTGATCATTGTTTTCAGCAGAAGATGTGCTATCACTAGCAACTCCTTGTTTTTCTTGTCGAATTATTATTTCTTTTTAAGCATCTTCCAATCTTTCTGTTTGTTTAGGTGATTCAAAAATTGATTTAATTTAACGTATCTTCTAAGATATAGCTTAATTTTTTTAAGTCCTTTAAGTACATAGAGTTGAAGTGTATAAGCTGAATATAATACAGAGGCCTACAGTAATTTACCGGATTTTTGTTACGTGAATTAGTAGATCGGTATTACAATCGCCGATTAC